GAGGCTGCGGTGACTGGGAGCGGCCACTGCACTCCAGTCTGGGCGACAGAGTGAGACTCCAACTCAAAATATATATATATATATTTTTTATTTCAGCATATACTTACACTCCTTAATTTTTTTCTTACAAAATACCAGTGATTTAACATTTTTTTCTTCTTTGAACTTTAGTCCATTTGATCAAAGAATATGATTAAAAGCCTTGATGTCACAAAGATGTGGATGTGAATTCTGATCCACAGAATTCTTAATAGCTTTGTGACAGTACATAGGCTCTATGAACCTTCATTTTCCTCTTTGTAAAATGGGGATAATCTGGCTCACTCTCATGCTATAGGGTTGTTGTGAGGTTGAAGTGAGATCACATATGTAAAGCACATAGCATGTTGCCTGCCCCAGAGGGAGTCCTCCATAGTCAGTGACAGCTGTTACCACAATTATCCTCTTCCCTTATCTCCAAGTGTTCAGTTTCTGAAGTGTATTTCATGTGACTTGATTACAGTAATATCCAGTAAGTATTTATGATTGGTTAATTTTTTAATAGTTTTTGTAGGGTACTTGTATGAATTAGGATGCTTTAGGCTACAAGAAACAGAAATAAAAATAGACGATCCAACTCAAACTGACTGAAACAATAGAGAAGAATATTGGTTCATGTAATCAAAATGTTCAAATTAGGTCATAGCGTGGTTTGGTCTAGGCTGTTGCCTCCTCCTCCTCCTCCTCCTCCTTCTTCTAAAACATGCTCTCAGCTCGACTTTTCTCCAGTTGTCTTGTCCTAAGGCAAGCTTTGCTTATATGCCTATAATAATAAGGTGATTTCTAGCAGCAGTTGGGGCTATATGCTCCATTTTTCACATCCAGGGGAAGTGAAAGCCTTACCTCTTATATCCATTGAACAAAAGTGCTTAACTTCGCCCTAATTGGACCTTCCTGAACTAACCTTGGTGGTCAGGGGAAGTCTGTTCTCTAACTGCCTTGGCTTATTGCCATATCTCGGCCAAATTCCATGACAGGGGATAAGAGTACACCAGCTGATTTGTACTGGTGAGGACCCACTCCTGGAGCTGGATGTGGAGTCAGTCCCACCCACACCTTGTGGTTGTTACACCCTAGGGAAGTGATGGCTCAGGAACGGAAAGGAAGGAGGATAGATGCTACTGCCATAATTGGCTAAGTAGTTACTCTTTCTTTTCTTTCTTTCTTACTTTTTTTTTTTTTTTAAGTTGGAGTCTCACTCCATTGCCTAGGCTGGAGTGCAGTGGTGTGCTCAAGGCCAATGCAGTCTCAATCTGCTGGGCTCAGGTGATCCTTCTACCTCAACTTTCCATGTAGCTGGGACTACAGGCATGCGTCACCTCACTCGGCTAATTTTTTGATTTATTGTAGAGAAGCGGTCTCGCCAAGTTGCCCAGGCTGTTCTCGAACCCATGGACTCAGGCAATCCTCTCACCTTGGCCTCCCAAAGTGCTGGGATTATAGGCTTGAGTCACCACGCCTGGCCTAGTTAGTCTTTCTTAAACTTTATGTGCTCAGCAAATTATGCTTGCAGCTTTACATTAATAATCTGGTAGTAGAACATTTCTCACATTTGGTTGATAAAAGTTTCCTGAGCAGAGATATCCTGTGAGCTGCTGGAAATATAAATTTGAAATTTTGGAAGAAATTTAGTAAATTTAGTTCTCTTCATTGGTAGGAAACAGTTGCCTAAACACTAGGTACTAAAAAGGGCTATCCTCTCTGAATCTAACCATAAATGGTAACCAGAACAGTGATTTTTTTTTTCTTTTTAAAAACTTTTATAAATTTAAGGGGTACAAGTGCAATTTTGTTAAATCAGTGATTTCTTAGATTATTTAGCACCTGCTAATAAGGAAAAGGGGATTATTTTAATAATATATATCAAGAGCCAGGTTCATCTGAAATATCTCATCTGCCTGTTAATAATTCCACCAGTCCTTCATATTTCCTTTTGCACTGACTTCAGAGTTGCCAAAAATGAGTCACTGGGGTATCTGTAAATAATATACTGTGTACAAACAACCTCCTAATAAGTTCTGTCCTGGCTCAAGGAGACAGGTCTCCAACAAAGAGGGATTCTGAAAGAGGGTGCACTGGGTTGGATGAAAATAAAACTCTGATTTATACATGTATATTAATGAAGTGATAGAGAGAGGGCTGAATTCCTACTTTAGGGTCTTCATTTTTTTTAAAGGTACTCTATAAATGTGCTAATGACTTCAAACTGATTCAAAAACTATTTGAATAACCCGTAAGATGTTTGAAAGTATCACTGTCTTCTGAAATTCCAAACTACACAAATGTAACATCTCTGAAATGGTGGCTGTTTCTTAGCTGTACTGCTTCAGGTTCTGAAAGAGTCCTCTGGACCCACTGAGGGAAGTTCCAAATTGACTTATAAGTGGCAAGCAGAATTCCACCTTAGCATCATCAAGTATCCCTGACCAGGGGTAGATGGTATAAAGCATTGCTACTCAAAGTGATCCATGGACTGGCTGCTGGACCCTAAACTGTTTGTTACTGGTCTGAGAGTCTTAGGATCTTATACCAGAATTTAGTCAACTGCATTGCTAAGCATTCTCTTCAGTTCAGCTGGTTTTTGTTATCATCATCATCATCATCAGTATTATTATTATTGTTGTTATTATTATTAGAGTCAGAGTCTCACTCTGTCACCCAGGCTGGAGTATAGTGGCATGCTGCTCACGGCCACTGCAGCCTCGACCTGATGGACTCAGGCGATCCTTTCACCTCAGCCTTCCGGGTAACTGGAACCACAGGCATGTGCCACCACACCCAGCTAATTTTTTTGATTTATTGTAGAGTGGAGGTCTCACTATGTTGCTCAGGCTGATCTCGAACCCCTGAGCTCAGGCAGTCCTCTTGCCTCTGCCTCCCGAAGTGCTGAGACTACAGACTTAAGTTACCATGCCTGACTTGTTTTTATTTTTAATGGTAAGACTTTCTTGATGAAGGAAGTACATTCTGGTGAAAGCCCATTATCTCATCATAGTCCAGTGGTTTGTACAGCACTGGGTAAAGCTAATAAAAGACCAAGAGAGAAAATAGGACTTTAAAATTTTTATCCCATTTGTATCCTTTTGAGGAAAATTATTATTAAGCTGGAAAAACCTCAGTGAAGAGGCATATTGAGCCAAGTTGCTTTAAAAGGGTACAATGAATATTCTTTGGGTGAGAGATTAAAAGCAAGGAAAGGTGAAGAGGAAAGGCTTTCTGAATAGTGGTGTCACATATGGGCAAACTTTCAATAGGCAGAAACGGGAGGACATTCTAGGATTAAGGAGCAGTGTGATCAGAAATACAGGTTGACACCCATTGTGTACCATGCTCACTGCAAGGAGGGGAGAAGACTGGCTAGAGGCCCAAACCTCTCCTTCACACAACTTACTTACATTAAAAATCTTCACATGTACCTCACAACTCTAAAATAAAAAAGAAAACATATATCTAATAAAGGACTTCTAACCAGAATATATAAAGAACTCCTATAAATCAATAACAAAAAGATTGACGATCCAAAATGAAAAATGGGCAAAAAGTCTGAACAGGGATTTTACAAAAAGACTATCCAAATGGCCAGAAAGCACATGAACAGACACTCAATGTGATTACTAATCAGAAAAATGTAAATCAAACTACAATAACATAGCGTTGCTCATCTACCAGGTTGGTTAAAGAAGAGGTCCCTGATCCCTGGGCCGCAGACTGGTACAGTCTGTGACTTGTTAGGAATCTGGCCACACAGCAGGAGGTGCGTAGTTGGCAAGCAGAGCTCCGCCTCCTGTCAGATAAACGGCAGCTTTAGATTTTCATAGGAATGGGAACCCTATTGTGAACTGCACACGGGCGGGATTTAGGATGCACACTCCTTAGGAGAATCTTGCCTGATGATCCTCCCTTTCCCCATCTGTGGAAAAATGATCTTCCACGAAACTGGTCCCTGATGCCAAAAAGATTGGGGACCACTGGGTTAAAAGACTAATGTCAAGTGGGATTGAGGATGTAGCATAATTTGAGTACTCATACATTACTGGTTGAAGTTTAATCTGGCTCGGCTATATTGGAAAGCTGTTTGACAGTATCTTCTGAAGGCAGACATATTCCTAACCTATAACCCAGGAGTTCCACTTCTAAGTTCATACTCAAGAGAAATAAATGTATATGTTTACCAAATGACACGTCCAAGTACCTTCATAGTAGCTTCATAAAAGTTCAAAATGGGAAACAGACAAATGTCCATCAGTAGTAGAGTAAATAAACTGTGGCATATTCATATAATAGAACACTATGCAGTAATGAAAATGATGAACTACTGATACATACAGTGATATGGACAAAACTCACAGACCCTGTGTTGAGCAAGCAATACATGCTAGGCACAAAAGAGTATATACTAGAGTGGTGTCCGCTGCTCTCCGAGCCTCACAATGCCGCCCAAGGACAAGAAGAAGAAAGACACCAGAAAGTTGGCCAAGAAAGACAAAGACCCAGTGAACAAATCTGGGGGCAAGGCTAAAAAGAAGTGGTACAAAGGCAAAGTTCAGGACAAGTTTAATAAGCAAGTCTTGTTTGACAAAGCTTCGTATGACAAACTCTGTAAGGAAGTTCCCAATTATAAGCTTATAACTCCAGCTGTGGTCTCTGAGAGACCGAAGATTTGTAGTTCCCTGGCCAGGACAGCCCTTCGGGAGCTCCTTAGAAAAGATCTTATCAAACTGGTTTCAAAGCACAGAGCACAAGTAATTTGCACCAGAAATACCAAGGGTGGAGATGCCCCAGCTACTGGTGATGATGCATGAACAGGTGCAACCAGCTGTACATTTGGAAAAGAAAACTTATTTTATTAAATAATTTTTTAAAAGTATATTCTACATAATTCCCATTTAAATGGAAGCGGAAAGAGACAGAGCAGTGGTTACCTTTGTGGAAGGGGGTACAGTGGAGATGCTATAAATATTGTATCCTTTCGTCTTGGTGGTGGTTATAAGGGTGTCTACATAAACAAACATTTATGCTCCACCATGAGAAAAAAATAATACAGGTTGAAGCCAGACACAGTGGCTCATGCCTGTAATCCCAGCACTTTGGGAGACTGAGGCGGGAGTATTGTTTGAGGCTAGGAGTTCAAGACCAGCATGGGCAACAAAGCAAGACCTCATCTCTACAAAAAAATTTCAAAAATTAGCTGGGTGTGATGGCACATGCCTATAGTCCCAACTACTCAAGAGGCTGAGTCAGGAGGATCACTTGAGCCCAGGAGTTTGAGGCTGTGGTGAACTGTGATCATGTCACTGCACTCTAGCCTGGGTGACAGAGTGAGACCTTGTCTCAAAGAAAAAGACGCCGGGCTCGGTGGCTCAGCCTGTAATCCCGCACTTTGGGAGGCTGAGGTGAGTGGATTGCCTGAGCCCGCGGG